GAATGAAAATATCATAGTTTGAGGTTTAGCTGACAATATTATGTATTCTTTCTGCATTATGCATACACACACATATATTTCATTACATTTATATTTTGAGTCACACTATAATGATTTAAAATTTCATTATCATTATTGGTAGGAAAAATGTCCTTTTACCCAGAGACTCTTAAATTATATTATTGGCTGGCCACTTCTGTTGGGAGAATTCCAGGAGTAGGAAATTAAGTAATTATTGTGCAACTCATCTTAGTAGTTTTATTAGCAGCTTTCCAATCATTTCAGTAACCATAGAGTTTTCTGTATAATATTTGAAGATTTCTGTGCTTAGTACTAAGTCTAGACATAAGTGAAACCAGAGGTAGACAGTAAAAAGAAGAACTGCTATTGCAGCTGCAATTTAGAGGGAGAGGCAACATAATTCTTCACTTCTTCAACAACTTTATCAAACCCTTAAAGTATATAGTGATGTACTAGGAAAAACAAATGCAAAGAAGTAAAGTCATGATTATATGAATTCATAAATAGCATACTGCTCAAATTAACTTGCAAACAAATAATGGCAACACAGTAAAATAACAGAAGGGGTGAGTGTCTGGAAGAAGAAACACCCAATTCTACCTGAAGCATTTGCACAGGAGGTAACACCTCAAATGACCTGAATCAAAAGTCAACAAATACTAAGGACATCGAGTTCTTTCCATGGCCGTGTAACAAGTACTAAATTTTCCCTACTGCTGAAAATAACTGTAAACTTAGACAAAATATATGAAGCAGCTGGTTGCAGGCATTGAACAACAGGCATTATAGAACATTGATCCTTTAGAAAAGTGAGACAGGTGAATAACCTAGTTTCTGCCTGAGGGTGGTTTCTGCTGCTTTGCAGTCTGGTGGAGCCTTATTCGAATAGAAATATTACACCAAGCTAGGGAATGAAGCAGCAGTTGAAAGTTGCAGAAGTAGATGTGATTTGCAGGGTGGAGAGCTAGAAAAGAGGGAGCCGTGCAGTGGCCGGAGACCAGGATGCCACAGGAGATTTATTGCACGCTCTTGGCCAAGTTTTGGAATGTGTTTGCAAGGCTCAGTAGATATTGTCAGCTTTTTACTAAGAAGTAAATGGTGATTGTTTTTGCCACACAAAGTAGAAGTTACACGATACAGAAGATATGGCAAAGCTAAAGACTGAGCTAAGCACCTCAAGTATTCCAATAAGAGTCCACAAAGCTATTTTCGAAGAGTAAAAGTCATGCTCAAAGGCAAATGCTACACCAACCAAAATGAATATAATTCAACAAAAATTTAAGGCTGACAAACTTTAACCTGTCAAAATAAGTTTCTATATTTTATTTTTTTTAAAAAAATCACAATTCATAACACATCACCTACAATACCTAACAAATAATTACAAATGCATAAATATGTAAAGAAGCCAGGAAGTTTGACCCCAAAAATAATACAATCAGTGGAAAGAGACTCTTGAGATGAGCCAATTGTTGGAATTAATAGAGATTTTAAGGTATAATTACCTAAAAGCATGTTTAAATAAAGAAAAAGATGTTCAAAATGGATAGTACAATGAGAAATCTTAATAAGAAATTAGTGACTATGAAAATTAAGCAAAAAGAAATGAAATGCCAACTAAAGAACTGAAAATAGTATCTGTAATGAGAGTCATAGCATCTGCTTACAAACAGATGGGAAATGATAGAGGAAAGTAGTGAAGTTGAAAGTAAAATAGAAATTCCTGCATTGAAGAGAAAAATAAAAGAGCCATATAAAAATGAGCAGGGATTCAGAGACTTTTGAGACAAGGAGGACAATTTATGAGCATTTGGAATGCTAGCAGAAGATGACAAATAGAGAAAAAAATTAATTTGAAAAACTAATGGTCAGACAAGGGATTAATATCCAGAATATATAATGAACTCTAAAAATTGCCCAGTGAGGTGGCACATGCCTGTACTTCTAGTTTGGGAGGCTGAGGCAGGCAAGTTCAAAACCAGCCTCAGTAACATAGTGAGGCCCTAATCAATTTAAAAAGGGGTGGGATGTGGCTCAGTGGTTGGACATCCCTGGATTCAATCCCCAGTGCAGGACAAAAAAATTCTAAAAATGCTTAACACCAAAAAGATAAAGCACCCAATCAATAAATGGACAAAAGAGCTAAACAGACATTTTTCAAAAGAAATACAAATGACCACCAAATACATGAAGAAATACATTCAAAATCCCTACCAGTTGGGGAAGTGCAAATGAATACTACACTGAGATTTTATCTCACTCCAGTCAGAATGGGAATTATCAAGAATATAAATAATAATAAATGTTGGTGAGGAGGGGGGAAAAAGGTAGAGTCATGCATTATTGGTAGGACTGCAAATTCATACAATTATTCTGAACATTACAATGAAGATTCCTCAAAAAAACTGGGAATAGAACTACTACATGACCTAACTCTCCCACTCCCCAGTAATTATTCAAAAGAACTAAAAACAGCTTACTATGGCAAAGCAGTTATGTCAGTGTTTATAACAGCACAACTCACAATAAACAAGTTATGGAAGCATCCCAGTGCCCAACAATAGATGAATGAATTAAGAAAATATAGTTTATATACACAATGGAGTTTTTCTCAGCCATAAATAAAATTATGATAAATGGATGGAACTAGAGAACATTATGTTAAGTGAAATAAATCAGACTCAGAAAATCAAATGTCAAATGTTCTCTCATCCCCAAACTAGAGCAAATAACTGGGGGAAATGGAGAGGGATCAGATATCATAAAGATAGGGAAGTCAGAGAAGTATAAGGAGGTTGAGAGGGAGGGATGGGAAAGAGGAAGAAATATAGAATAAATTTGACAAAAATTATGCTATGTGCATGTATAAATATATCTCTATGTATTCCACCTTTATGTATATTTCTAAAGCACTAATTAAAAATATGTAAATGAGAAAAAAAGTAGTAAAGATCAGAAAAATGTCTCAACTTTAGTTGAGAGTATTCAATGATAGATCTAAGAAGTCCAATATATCTGAAACAGAACTTCAAAGTTAACTACATGTAGACCTATTATACTCAAATATCTAAAACACAAAGTTAAAGAGAAAAATCTTAAAAGGAAGCTGGGGGAAGGTGGGAATTCAAAGAGTGGAGTGAAAATCTGAATGAAAACAAACTTCTCATCAGACACAATGGAAGCCAGACACAGGTGAATGATACGTTTAAGTTATTCAAAAGAAAAAATAAAAATGAATGCACACTTTTATATCCACTAAGTGTGTTTCAATATTGAAATAAAGACACTGCCATACAAACAAGTATTGAGAGAAGTTATTCAGCTAACATGCCAAGAGGGAGTACCAAAGTAAATGTTTCACACACAAAGTAAATGACAACAGATGGAATCCAGGAAGGGGGAAAGTGTGATCAAAATAGTAAGTGTGCTGAATAATACAAAATGCTACTCTTAATTTTTTAAGAGAGGTGACCAAATCAAAATAATAGCATGCTATAATGGGATTTATTGTTTATGCAGAAATAAAATATATGGAAATAACAAAAAGCATGAGAGTGGGGTAAATGTCATTCTTGCTATCATAGATTTTAAAATTTTAAATGTATGTTCCAACATTAATTCTAAATAAACTGAGATATATTAAGGATGCATATTGTAATCTTTAGAGTTAGCACAAACACTAAAAAACATACAAAGAAATCAAGAAAGGAACTAAATGAAATAGGAAAAATATCAAACTGAAAAGGGAGAAAAGAAATTCAATAGGAGAAACAAGTAGAAATAAATACAAATACAATAGTCTGAAATAGGACAACCTACATAAATATATTTAATATAAATCTTTCTGAAAACACATAAATTGAAAAACTAGATTAAAAGAGAAGACTCAACTACTGTCTGAAGCATATAAACTTAAGAAACAAGGGCACAGATATATTGAAGTAAAATAAACAAAACGAATTGACACTACCAAAGAATGACAACTGTTATGCTCATTAGTATCAGGAAAAGTATAGCTAAAAACAGAATGTAATTAGAGAAAAATAAATCATTTTTAATGATGAAAGGGGCAATTAAGAAGAGATAACAAATGTAAATGCATATGTAGCTAATAATAAAGCTGCAAAATACATAAGGCAAAAATTATCTCTTTTAAAAGCAGTCATATATGTATACTCTAACTGAATTATTTATGTATGTTCCCAAGAAGTGAAGCATATGCCCAAATAATTACTTATATATGAAATATATAATAGTTTTCTTTATAATATTTAAAAGCTAAAATAACCCAAATGTTCATCAGTAAGAAGATGACTAACAAATTGTGAAATAGTCACACAAAGAATTGTTACTAATTCACAATAAAAATGATGAACTACAGATATGTATTAGATTATCAGTACATTTCAAAAATAGATGTGATTTAAGAGACAAAAGCCCAAACAAGAGAACATATACCTAATTCATGATGATAAAAATCTGATAATAGTAGTTACCAAATAGATTTGCAGATGAATTTAAAGGAGATGTGTGGGAAATGTTCTATATTTTCATCAAAGTGTTATGTATATTCCTCAAAATTCAAATTATATTCCTGAAAATTTATGAATTTTTCTATATTTAATATTACCTCAATAAAATTAAAAATAAAATTCAAATAAATATTTAAACAGGTCAAAAATTCTAGTATCGTATTCATCTTTTCTCTATATAGATCTATATTAATAAGGAAGTTTTTATTTTAAGCCTACAGATTGTTCCATTCAAATCATCGAAGTAACTCAAGGCACTAACACGACCCTGACCTCCTTTTGTGACAAAGTAAAAAAGTGAGTATTGCTATTTCATTAAATTTTGAAGTTTCTAAATTTAATGAATGAATTTGTCTATTTTTATAATATAAAACTGATTAATTTTGCATATAAAATGTCAAAGTTCTGGTAACTTGCAAATATAGTGAAATATAGAAATTCTTGAAATCATTAATTGACCTCTATTGTTTTTTTTGGTCTTATAGACATATTTATGTTTGAAAATTCAATTAAAGTTAAATGTTTCATAATTTCAGAATATCTCTTATTGTTTGTTGGTAGTTTGATTTGTACTAAATTAACTTCTCACTTAATGACAATCTATCTAAGGCCCAAATTAACAGATTAACCTTTTTACATGGTACATTCTGTTTAGAATTGAGTGAATGCCTTCCTCATGTTAGCTAAATCTTATCTTGATTGGATGGCCAGAATTTTAAACATTTTAAATGAATGTGTGTTTGTCCTGTGAAAACCAAATTGATTACTAGAGGATATTAACAAATACTCCATTGATCTTTTTGCTAATCTAAAAATGAATCCATGATGTAAAGATAGATTTTTTCAAAGACAAATTTCTTACTAGTGATTAAAATTTATATAATGCTATCTGTCCTTTGCTAAGTTTTGAAAATTTAATTCATTAGCAATTTAGTTGTTTTTTTTTTTCATCCATTGATGGCCATTATTTTAAATGTACTAAATATACATGTTTGGGTTAGAGATTTGAGTCATTTATTTAATGGGTAGTTTAAAGGCTATTTCAGTGTGAATATATCAGAGAAAATATTTGGTATTTGTTTTTGGGGGACTGGCTGACTTCACTTAGCATTATCTTCTCTAACACCATCCATTTACCTACAAATGCCATGGTTTTGTTCTTTTTTAATGCTGAGTAAAATTACATTGTGTATATATGCCACATTTTTTTATCCATTCATCCACTGAAGGACATCTAGGTTAGCTCCACAGTTTAGTTATTGTGAATTGTGCTGCTAAAAACATTAATGTGACTGTGTGCCTGTATGAAGACTTGAATTGGGTTTCAACATACTTTATATACAAACAGAGATACAAAAATCGTGGTATATATGTGTATTAAGAATTGTAATGCAAAAAAAAAAGAAGAAGAAGAAGAATAGCATTACCTTAGATTAGGTAGAGGGAAGTGAAAGGAGGGGAAAGCAGGGGATGTGTGGACAAGAAAGATAATAGAATGAAACAGACATTATTACTTTATGTATATATGTGACTGTATGACCAATGTGATTCTACATATGTGTACTCAGAAAAATTAGAAATTATATCCCATCTATGTATGATAAATCAAAGTATATAAGTGCATTCTACTGTCATGTATAACTAATTAAAACAAATTAAAGTTTTTTTAAAAAAAATTGCAAAATATCATTGAAAGAAATTTTTTTAAAAAGAAAAAGTAATTTTTTAAATTTCTTGTTCAGGTTTAAAGTTATCAATATCCATTCTTTTGGAAATACACTAATCCCTGTAATAAAATTGCTAGAAATTTGCCATTTTAAGTCTAAATTGTGGTCATTCCTACCTGTTAAGCATGAGAAATAGCTCTCTTAATACTATAAGACATCATTTCTTGGAATAACACACTAACAGAGCACTTATTATGAGCTCATCTGGCAGCTCTTTTTTGTTTTTAAAGCATACTTTTATATTCTTAGGTCAAATCTTATAGATGCAGTAGTAACATAAAAAATGTTTTATATGATGTTATGTTAGTAACTTATTTTGATGCATTTTCCAAACTCTTAAATATACTTTTTATCAGTGGTGTTTTCTGCAATAACCATAAGAACTAAAACAAACAACCAAGCATTAACCTTAGAGTAGTGAAAAGGAGACATGGGTTATGTTCAAACTTACTTTTCTCAGTCTATAATAACTTTTACTTAAAAACAGTCATTTTTTTAAATGATTAAATGTTCATATGCATAGTTACATTATACACAAACATACTATTCGTTCATTAAATATTTTTGAGGATCCACTATGTGCGGGGCATTTTTAATTCAAAAGGAGATGAAATTGAATTTAAAAGCCAAGCTACACAATAGGTTTATCAAAACCAGGAAAGTCATAATAGAACAGATTTATATATCTAATTACACTTATTTTTCCTAATACTTAAATAAGCATACTCCAATATGCTGTTCACATTTCTTTTCTACTCCTTTAGAGAGATTTTATAATTTGTTGGCTTTGGTTTCTTATGGCATACTTTAAAGCCAGCTCTTTTAAGAAATTGAAACGTTCTTACAAAAAAATGTTACATAATACTACAGCATATGCATGTTTCTGATCCACAGAAGCTCCTCAACAAAGGTTTACAGAAGAATGAAACACTAATTTACATTTTAAATTTAATTTCCCAAATGGTTTAAGCTGAAATCCTGAATGCATTGAGTAGTATCACATCAGAGAGTAAATGCTAGTCCTAAAGCCTCTCCAGCCAGGATTCCAGTCTAGACCTTTGTGGCAGGGAGTAACAAAGGAGAGTGGCCCCCATATTTATGCTGAGCCATGGCTCTCAAACTGCACTGCCAAAGCAGCAGCAGCAGCAGCAACTGATTTGAGAACTTAATTTTAGGGTAAGTTTGGGGCCCTTCACAGATATATTGAGCCAGACTCTGTGGGAATGGGACCCAGAGCACAGGCAGATACTGATCTAAAACGGGCCCATTGAGTGACTATGCACTTGTCCATCAGTCAATAGAGACAATATTTCAATGGAATCTGAAGAGTTAAACTCTGAGCTACTTTAAGGGCTGGACACTATTTTAGCACTGCATAAATATAGTGAGTGCTAAGAATGCAAAGTATAATATAGAATGTATGATTTTCCATTTAGAAAGAGGTTAGGTATCAGAATAATTGACACTAAAAACCCTGAAATTACATTTTTCATCATCAAAAGCTTTTTAAATGCCTACTTGTGTTTTAGACAACTTTTTCACTGCTGTGACTAACAAACCTGATCAGAACATCTGTAAAGGAGGAAAGTTTTATTTAGGGGCTCACAGTTTCAGAGATCTCAATCCATAGACAGCAGACACCATTTCTCAGGCTCAAGGTGGGGGTAGAACAAGATGGCAGAAGAGTATAGCCAAGGGAAGCAGCTCACTTCTTGACCAGGAAGCAGAGAGAGAGATTCTAAGCTCCAGATACAAAATATATACCCCATAGCCATGCCCCCAATGAACTGCTCCTCCAGCCACACCCCACCTGACTCCAGTTACCACTCAGTTAATCCCATCAAGGATTAATTCACTGATTAGGTTAAGACTCTCACAACCCAATGATTTTTCTGGACCTTCTTGTATTGTCACACATGAGCTTTGGGGAATAACTCACATCCAAATTATAACAACTTGTAAATATGTTTATATTATGCTACATGTGGACATAAAACTTGTATCTAAAAGAATTAAATTATAGTAATATACAATGATAATTATGCTACTTTACATTGCTCCATACTCTAAAATTTTACATGGCTTTTCTTTTTTAACCCTCACAAGAAGTCTTCGAAGTAGATATTAACCCCCACTTTAGTGCAAAGTAACTAGTCAACTAAATTGCCTCTGGCAATTCCTAAGTGGAGACATCAGGATTCAAATTCAAGTCTTCTGCTCCAAGAATAAACTATTTTGCAATTCCTTGACTTGTTTATGTAATAAGTAATTGTTTAGAATAGATGCATGACTTCTAGGCTTGATTATTTGTGGAAAATCCAAAAATTCAAAGAAAACAAAAAGACAAAACTAATGTTTATAAATTAGACACAAATAAGGAATTTATTTACCAATATCTCTAAATCCAAATGAGTGACTTGTACTTTGACAACACAAGGCACAAGAAAAATCCGAGGGGAGGAATTCAGGCATCAAAAGAAAAGGAAATGATGCAAGTAATAATTTTCAGAGTGAATTGTCATGTCTTACATTTATGAAAATGTACTCTTAATTATTTCAAATGAAGGGCGCCAGGGAAAGCCTGGAGAACAGAGCTTCACACTTGTTCTTGATACAAGTGTAATCTCTACCTACTGACCCAAGTGAATGCACTGTACCACAATTAGTAACTGAAGGTTTTCATGTTTTAAATTTTATAAAGCAAAACACTGCAGAAGATCTTTAAAATTACTTTGTGAATGGTACTTTTAAAATGAAATCATGCAAATCTTGTCCTAAGCATTTTTCTTCCATATACTTTTCAGACTGAGAGAGGCATATCATGCAGCTGACATGAATTCCAACTCTGGAAAGATCTGGAGCATCACTACAGCATTTCCATTTCAGCTCTTTTCTAACACCAAGTTCAATATAAATATTTTGGCTGAAAATTCAGCACAACTACTTCATCTTATGCCATATGGTAAGTAACTTGTAATTAAATATAAAAATCTTCATAGAGCTGGTATTGATAGCCTTGAAATTATTAAATGCTGCTACAAACATTGATGTGGCTGTAACACCACAGTGGACTGATTTTAAATCCTTTGAGTATAAACTTAGGAGTGGGAAAACTAGGTCAAATGGTAGTTCCATTCCAAGGTTTCTAAGGAATCGCCATACTGCTTTCAAGAATGGTTGCACCGATTTGCAGTCCTGCCAGCAATGTATGAGTGTGCCTTTCCCCCCCACATCCTCACCAACATTTAGTGTTACTTATATTCTTGATAATTGCCATTTTGACTTGAGTGAGTTGGAATGTTAGTGAAATTTTAATTTTCATTTCTCTGATTACTAGAGATGTTGAACATTTTTTCGTTTCTTTCTGAATATTATTCAGAATAAGTATTACCATCTTTATTACCATAAAGAAGAATGAAATTATGGCATTTGCCAATAAATGGATGGAACTGGAAAATATCATGCTAAGTGAAATAAGTCAATCCCCAAAACCCAAAGGCTAGATGTTCTTTCTGATATGTGGATACTAACTCATAACAAGGGATGGTAGAGGGGGGAAAAACACAATTCATTGGATTAGACAAAAGGGAATGAAGGGAAAGGGCTGGGTGGGGGGAGAGATGAGAACAGCAAATGACAATAGAATGACATAACTTTCCTATCCTTATATATAAATACACAACCAGTGTAACTCCACATCATGTACAACCTAATTAGAATAATATATACTCCGTGTGTGTATATTATTTCAAAATACCTTATACTGTCATGTATATAAAGGAAAAATATAAAAAAATATAAAAATAAAAGGACAGAAACTTTAAAAAAAGAAATCAATAAAAATTATCCTATGAGATACTGTTTTACTCTCAAATGAAATAAGAAAAAAAAATAGGTGAGAACATTAGTTAACATTGGAGGTGGGAAAGTTGAGGCATGGTCTTCTAGATCACTCTTCAAATAGCTCATCCCAAAACATTTTGTTTTCCTACTACAATACTTAATAACAAGTATGGAAAATATCCATATTTTTTTTAAATCTAAATTTCAAAAAGATAAGAAATAAAAAGGAGACATAAGTGAAAAATGACCATTCCTATTCATTAGGAACAACTATTTCATTCAAAATGAAAAATTGTGAGATAGAATAAGCACTGGTACAAAATCTCTATCCTCATAGTGAGAAGAAGTCTAGCAGTCCTCTGCATCTCACCTCAACTAGATTTAGCAGATATGTTGACTAAGTGTCTGTGAGGATAGATCCTACAAATTTGTTTTTGTTTTTTATGGAACTCATCTGATGGTCTTTACTTTTTCACAGTTGTAGAATATCTTCAAAGACTTTAAATATTTTATTTCATTGTTTTAGTTGACTATTGTGCAAAACAATATCAGTTCTTTAAACATTTAGTAGCGACTAAATGTGTTTTTACGCGTCAACAGGAAATTATTTCCTGACACATAATAATCCAAGAAATATGTTCTTTTATTTGCTGATGATATTTATGATTATGCTTTCCACTGGCTTACTCTATTCATGTTTCTGAGCAAGTACAGATGACTACAAACATAGCAATGTTGTGTTGGTATACTAGTTAGAACCATCTGGTTTCAAACTAACAGAAACCAACTCCTGCTGGCTTAAGCAGAAAGAAAACATTTTTTAAAGAACATCGGGGTTTCTTATAGAATTTAAAAGTAGGAACTCATCAAATTAGGGATGCACTAAAACCCCAAATGACCAAGTAGCCTCAAATCCCTTTATGCCCCTGACCTAATTTCCCTGTGTAATTGCTGCCCTGTCTCACTTGCTCTCTGCTGATTCATTCTCTTGATTTTGCAAAACAAGTAAAAAGCCAAGCTTACAAGCATATGTGCTATTTGGCCAGCCATCTAAAGATAGTTCCATTTCTCTATTAGATACATTCCCAATCTGGAACAGCAGGATTCTGATTGCCCAGTTAAGACCAATGGTTCTGTACCTTGATCCTATCAGAATGGACATGTCCAGGTCATGTTGACCTCAGCTGCTGGAGAAGACGAAATACTTATCAATTAAGGAGCTCACTTCTGTTCTTCAAAGTTATAATATTTAATTTTCAACATATCTCTTAGTATGAAGTTGACAAGTCAGTAACATCTTTTATGAGAAGTTTCAGCAAAGCGATGAGGTTATTGTGTTTAGTATTGAAGAGGCAAAGTGGTCAAGAGGATGTACGAGCCCTAAAAGATGTTAAAAGTCTAAGGAGGAGGAACAGGAATGTTGGGTAGCTAGTCCTGCATGAACAGATAGATAGGGTGAAAGGACAATGAAGGAACACTAAAAATCACAAGGAGCCTTACCTAACATACAAGCATCTGGAAGATGGGAGTCTTGTATGTCAAAATCTCCCCCAGCCTTAATTAATTACATCCTCTTTTTTAAAAAAAAGTACCATTTCAGGACTATGTCATCATTATCAATCATAATCCAGTCTCCAGGACTCACTCTTATCACCAAAATTGTGTCACAGCCCCCAATCCCTCTGGTAGCCCAAATATCAAGACCCTCTTGAACAAAATTTAATGGGGATGTTCAAAGGGTACTGAACTGATTTAAGTAGACAAGAAATTGAAACAAAACAGAGGGTCTCAATTTCCTTAAAAACTTCCATTCTGTGAGCACCCCACACCATCTTCCTTGCAGGCGATCCATGAAGTTCCTATGCTGTCTGTCAAAGGTCAAAGGGGACCTTGTCAGGACTCTCTGGGCATATTCCTGGGATACCTCATAAAACTGAAATCTGGAGTCCTAGAAGGGCATGCAGCTCTCCTAAGAGGACCCACTTTCTGCCTCAAGAGTGTTCCCTTTTCCTAACTCTTCTGTTAAAATCATGCTTGTCACTCTGAGTGAGATAGGAGAAACTGTTCTAGCCTATCACTAGAATTGGGATTTGAAGAAGGGACTCCACAGCTGCCCCAGCTTTGCAGCAGGCTCTACCCTGTCATAGGAGTAGGGACAGAGGAGGGTGACTTAGAAAAAATTAATGAAACCATACATAGTAGATTTTTGCCATGGTTTGGAGGAAAATTTTTTATCTACTTACTTAAATTTAAATGATTGAGGGTAGGGAGGGTGTCTATGAAATAACTGGCAACAGAAAAATTAACAGAAGAAAAAACATATGCAAGTACTTGTAGGTTACTCAATAGTGAATAACTGAATATCCAAAAGTAAGTATGCTACATCAATTAACAAAATGGAGGGGTTTTAGGATTTCAATAGGATATATATATATATATATATATATATATATATATATATGATTTTTTAATGTTAATGAATGGGCAGCTTGTCTCCTCAGAATTTGCAGGAAATTCCCTCTAAGGGGAGGTAATGGAAGGTATATATATTTTAGGGGGTTTCTGCTTTAGTCAGATAAGAAAAGTTCAGATAAGATTTAAAGTATGTTTTTGCTTTACACCAAAACTGCTACTTTCATCAGTTTTATACTAGTGCTTCACTGGTGTTACAGATGTTCCACAAAAGAACAAAAGTCTGAAGGATGCATTAAGAATAACTTGAGTGAAAGATAAAAGCTGTCAGTAGTAATGCAAGAAAAGATGAAATCTAGATAAGTGGAGGAGATGGGTGAAGGGTTTTCATTCAGAGGAAACTCATTTCTCCAAGACTGAGAAAATGGAGTACTTTGAAAGAATCAGGATTTTTAGACAAGAAATTCTCTGGTCCACAATTCTCAACTATCATTTTGATGAAGATGAAGTCATTTCCAGTTCCAAAGTTGCTCTAGGCCAGTTTTCTTACTGTCAAGTACCTCCCAGCTTTAGATCACCATTGGTTGAACTCTGTGTCAGGAAGTCATTAGTGACCCTCAAATGGGTTGTAAATAGAAGTCTATCTGCAAGAATTGAGGATTGACTAAGAACTCTTGGCAGAAGTCTCTTTAAAGAAGTTTGGCAGTAAAGGGGAGGTAAAAGAAATGATATGACAAACAAATAGAATGGATAAGGGGAGATTTTATTGGAAGGTTGAATAGAAGCACTTCATTATGGAAAGAGAAAAATATCTTTAAAGAATGGAAATTAAGTAGGTAAAAGAAAAGTGGGGGTGGTCATTGACAGAATAGAATTGTAACCCAGTGTAGGAGGAAGGATCACAGTTGAAGGAGTAAATGTTTATGAGAGAGAGAGAGAGAGAGACTTCTACCTCCAAAAGAGGTGTGAAGGCACAAAGGAGGAAGAGTGGAAAACTAGACTTGAGATATACAGTAGTATAATGAAAGAATCTTAAGGGCTCTTCGCCATTAGTAAGGTGGATGATATGGTGAACACAGTGGGAAGGGCTGCATGGAAAAAGACTATAAGAAATTAGGGAAAGGATTTTTTTAGGTGGTGGCTTACAATATGGATAAGAAATTTAACTCATGGATTTCATGGTTGATTTCAAGAATAAAAATGGCATTTTCAAGCTCAGACATGCTGAATTTGAAGTAATAATGAAACATCCAGTGACTAACCTGGAGCGCGTAGTAGGAGGTATCAAACTGTTGGAACTCAGAAATTTATTCTCCAGAGGATGGCTCCTTGCCCTGCTGAGTTCTGTGAACTGATGGAGATTGGAAGGGCTTCAGAAGCTGAGTGCTCTGACCTGCCTTTCTTTCTCCTCTAAGGCAGGCCATGGAAACTACAACTCCTTTCCCCAAAGCCAGCCATAAAACTTACAAATATTACTCTCACGTTCCTTTCCCTTTCTGAGTGAGAACTAGCCATAAAGAAATTCTATGCCCTATCATATTGGATAGTAAATTTAAGACCCTCATTTCCAAAATGTATCCTGCCCCATAAGTTGGAGAATGGAATGCTACACAGAAAAGCCAAGAAGAAACCAATAGGCAAGCCTTGTTGCATTTCCTTACCCAATTATCATTAATTCCTACCATTTTTGTCCAACCACAACTCCACATCACTGTCATAACACAAAAATGTGGAGAGTTTTCCTGTGTCTTTGGGTTTTCTTTTCAGAAGACTCCTGTGTCACATAAAACCTTGATTTAAAACAATATTATCTTTCTTTTCTTGTTATCCTCTCTTTTGTAGCAATGTTGGTCATGAACTTTATGGTAGGGAAGAAAGGTATAACATTTTTTGCCTCTATGAAACCAAGGCACAGGAGAGAAGAGAAAGGTAGAAATTGGTACAAAATATTTCATGTGACAAAGTAATAATCCATACATGTCCCATATAGTATAGATGGATGTGGTCCTGGAAAGACTGGAGTCAATATTTTGTTTCTTTTTGGTGATACTAAGCTCCAACCCAGTGCCTCATGCACCAAAGCAAATACTCTACCACTGAACTACATCCCCAGTGGAGAGTCAGATTAATTAAGACTCCAATACAAGTGCCTTTGGAGATAGTTTGCTGCCATGATATATTGCCAGTTCTCACTCCTCCTTATCAAATATATAAAATCATATATTTTATGATTTTTCCTATGGCCATATTCACTACTAGCTTCAATTCATAACATTTCATGCCATTTCAGACAATATTTCAAACGTGTGGTGGGTTTAAGACATTTTTCTCATGTCAAAGCATTTCCACCATCCATAATTCTCTGAGGATCTTTACTACTTGTTTGTCCAACCATTTCTTTGATAGCATCTTGACCAATCATAAAGCCATACTTTAAATCCAGAATGATATACTTTCTTTTCCTTTGTGGCAGCAATATCTCTTGCACTGCATTTTCTTAGCCAATTTGACCCAAAATCCTCTTCCTACAAACAAAAGATATGGCAGTAAAAGAAGTCACAGCAAAGAGAACAAATAATTGTGACCAAAGCTGAACTCTGACAAATGCTATTGACCATTTGCAGGATGCTGTGCGATTCTTACTGGCTATGGATTATCAGTGAAGTCCACTGCAACTGCTTCCATTGACCTAGATGATGAGCTCACAATTGAAACACGGGCTTAACACTTTTCAATATAGTGCCAACATTTGTCTTTTTTTAATGTTAGACTTATATCAGATTCCTGAAGGAAATAAACCATACAGTTATAAACCTTTGTCAACAGATGAAGAAACTGGGTCAAAAGGTGAAATAACTTTTCTAGGTGCATCAAATAAGAAGTAATAAATCTATATTATTTCCAGGTCTTACTGTCAGAAATTGATAAGCACATGTTAATTGTTGTAGAATTGTTTTATACTGATAGTAGAACTTCTTTTAGGCAAAGCTACAGTGTACCAAGGGTTTTAACAAGAGGAACATAATATCTAACTTTGTTATGTTTCATGAAAACAAAACTGATTAAAAGAATTTCAAACAACATTTTCAAATATATCTCTACATCTAACCTGGCTAATAAATGAGATGCATCTCATTTTAATTTCTCTTGATGGAGCTAGACAGATAAAATATCTTATACAGTGTTTGCCATTTTTTTAATGCTTAAAAACTTTCCCAGTCATCCTTTGATAAGTTCTTAATGACTTATTATTCACCTTTTGTTTTTAGCTAATTATCTTGTCAAAGACCTAATTGAAGAAATTCTCCATTTATGTGCAAATGACCAGCTCTTCCCCAAAGACCATCTTCTAAGCATATGTGGCTCTGAAGAATTTTTACAGCTGTAAGTATCTTATTAAAGTAAATTTTCATCATTGTTATGACCTGTAAGTGTTAAATAGCAGTGTTATTAATTTTTAAAACAGATTTTATGCTAACATTATGCTCTTTGGGGGAAGGGGATACTGGGGATTGAACCTGGGGCCTCAGGCATCCTAGGAAAGCACTCTATCACTGGGCTATATCCCTAGTCCTCAATATTCTTTACCTGATAAAATTAAGACTATTTTATAAATCATATTGCTAGTCTTCTTCTTGGTCTTATTTTTGTATTACATGTAGTTATGTTAATAGTTGTGTAAGTGAACTTGGCCTGAATGTACAATCATCTATTTGCCCAGGATTGAAGTGATTCCAAGAACATGGGAACTTTAGTTTTGAATCCAAGATAGACCTAGGCGAACCAGGACAGGTTTTTTACCCTACCTTTAATAAAGCTTATTAGGATTGATCACAGTTAATAAAATAAATTTTTCTAAAATACATAATTTTTTTGATTTGCAATAATGCTAGCATGTTAATCAATTACTGACCTTAATAAATCACAGGAGATTTCAAAATGAGCACTATAGAATTTCTATAAAACCATGAGTTTTAAAATATCTTTTGTTTCTTTATTTAGGTGATTTATTAAACAATTAAAGAAGTCAATTCTCATTGAATATTCTCTTCAAATATTTATTTGATAGAAACTAATTTTTTAGTTTACCACAATAAGCCATTTGCCTGAAACTCTTCAGAGACCAATCTTGAAAATAGCAAATAGTTTTAAGAAAATAAACATTTCCCTAATTGATATTGTATGGTTATTCTAAAGATCAAAGATTTAAAGATTAAAATGTTCAGTAGAGAGTATTGTCATTTATGTATCTCTTTTGCATTTCTACAAGTATCTAACAATTAGATAGATATGCTATAGTGTCAAAGAAGTAGAAATGTATTTCTTTTGGGATTCTGGAACATTGTCACTGTCATTATTCGACTATGAATGTTCTTGAAAATATCTTATGGATAGTTTGGAGCGTTTGATGATACTATTAACAGAAAGTCTAGTCTTTTAGTGTATAACGTAAACTGTGAATGATTTTCAATAACTTTTTTCATTTTTGTGCTTCCAATTATAGAAAAATAATAAGAAATATATATATGAAATCACAGATGTTTTGTTGCACAAAGCTCAGAAATGCCACTTTTCTTTGTTTCTCTATTAATCCACTAATTAACACACTCAGTGACTAGGCCCTGACTTTTCCCCAACAGTTTTTGCAGCATACCCAATGAGTGCAGTAAAAGTATTTTAGTAAATTTAATCTTATACTTACTACTCATTAAAACTCATCTTTGGAATATGCACATTTCCAAATGTATACCTGGACTTTGGTTGATACCAAAATGTTAGAACCAAAAAACAAGAAACATTATCAATTATTTGCACTAAATTTAAGCAGTAAGAAATATCCAGAAAACAGAGAAAAACTTGAAAAAGTGAAGAAATTTTACAATGGACCTTGATTTAAGAACTGTTTCAAATAAGTAAATCATCCTTAAATCTCAATCATTGACTGATAAAAATATTATAAAGATTATCTTACTCTTGTTTCTTTTTAATATGATTTCCTGTAAGTACAATGTAATAATTTTTTTAAATGTTTTTATATTTTTAATACCATTAAAATTTGATTTAGCTGGGTTTTATTAAGACAAATTATTCAAATATTATGATGGGTTAATTATAATCAATAATTGCCTAATGAGGATAAAAGAATTTGTACATATCTGTCATTTACTCACTATATAATTGTAAAAGCCTATCTATATAGATATAACCTATTTTAATAAACATAAGAATATTACTGTTCTCTCTCACATTTAAAAGAGTATACATTAGTCATTTAGATTTTATTTTTCCATTTATAGATACATAATTTGTTTAATAAATATGTCCTTATAGATTTGGAAAAATCTGTGTGAAAAATTTTCATAGAGGGAACACAATAATGTGCATTGTATTAATAATTCAATTAATCAAAATAAACACTCTAAACTTATGCTAAACATTGTCTGGAGCATTCAATAGACTAAGGTTGCAATAATAATAATTGTTATGGGGAAATAAAAGCTTTCCATAACATGTGAAATAATACATGACAACCAAGCCAACACTACAAAAAACACTGAAAGATAAATTGCTCACAAAGAAACCCCAAAATAAATCCCCAAACTCTCAAATAAATTAAGATCAATGTAAGACTGATCAGCCAAATGAGATTTATGATAGAATTAAATATAACAAAAAAATGAAAATGGAAGCATACCAGAAAACACATCTCTATAATAACACTGAATATAAATGGTCTCAACTCCCCAAACATAAGACGTGGATTGGCAGAATGGATAAGAAACAGGATATAATTTTATAAATAAATAAATAAATAAATAAATAAATATATATATTGAGAGAGAGAGAGAGAGAGAGAGAGAGAGAGAGACTCATCTCAGAGGCAAAGACATTTATGCACTAAAGGTAAAAGGATGGAAAAAATGTCATATGTAAATGGAGTTCATAAACAAGCCAGAATAGTTATTCTCATAGCTGATAAAGCTGATTTCAAGCCAAAATTAATCAGAAGCAACAAAGAAGGACTTTATATCCTGGTAATGGTAACATTCCAACACAAAGATATAATAATAGTAAATATATATGTCATACTAATGTCATATTTTTATATTTTAAAAATACTCCTTGACAGAAAATCCCATATAGACCTAACACAATAATACTGGGTGATTTCAACACATCCTCGTAGCCAACAGACAGGTCATCAAACATAAAATCAATAAAAATATATCTACCTAAATAATAATATAATATAAATCAAATGGACCTAATAGACATACACTAACTATTTCATCTCCAAACAGCTGAATTTACCTTCTTCTCAGCAGCTTATGGAATTTTTTCCAAAAGAGATCATTTTAGGTACAATTCTTAGCAAATACAAATAAATAAGTAAAATAAAATCAATATAATCCCATGCATTTCACTGGACCATAACGGAATGAAACTAGAAACCAATATCAAGAAAGATAATAGGAACCTTATAATCACATGGAAGTTGAACAATACTATTTTGAATAAAAAAAGGATTGTGGAAGAAGTGAGAGAAGGAATCAACAAATTATATGAAACAATTGAGAACAGAGATACAACATATAAAAATCTTTGGGACAGTATGAAAACAGTCCTAAGAGGAAAATTTGTAGCATCAAGTGTCTACACTTAAAAAAAAATACAGAGATCCAAAATAAGTAAGCTTATTCTCCAACTCAAAGTCTTAGAAAAAGAACAACAAACTAACTCCAAAATCAGTAGAAAATAAGAACTAATAATGATCAGTGCCAAAATTAATGAAATCGATAATTTAAAATCAATATACAGGATCAATGCAACAAACAGTAGGTTCTTCAAAATGCTAAATAAGATTGGTGAATCCTTCTCCAAACTAACCAAAAGAAAGAGAGAAAAGGCCAAAAGCAACAAAATTATAGATTAAAAAAATGATATCACCACAGACATTTCAGAAATCTAGAGGATAATTAGAAAATATTTTAAAAATTTATACTCCAATAAACTACAAAATTTAGAAGCTATTGGCAGATTTCTATATACATATGAGCTGCCCAAATTGAACCAGGAAAATATAGAAAACATAAACAGACCAATATCAAGTAATGCAATTGAAACAGCATTGAAGTCTACCAACAAAGAATTGCTCAAGACCAGATGAATTCTCAGCTGATTTCCACCAGACCTTTAAAGAATAATGTTAACACTCATCTCTCAAATTATTTCATAAAATTGAAAAGGAATGAACACTCCCAAATGTAAAGAAAGCAAAAGGAGACAGAAACAAGGTGCAGAGGCAAAGCAAAAGCTGCTCTCCTGAGCTGCTAGCTTTATTTGTATCAATAGGTTACTTTAGGTCATTGGCATCATTAGTACATATTGTTCATTGTATTACTCGGGAGGTTACAGACTTAGCAACATTATGCAGCTTATTCCTCAGTTACATTCAAAGTTTCAATGCGCAATGTTAGGAGCTTAGTGCAGCTTCAAGAAAGTCCATTGTATAAAGTTACTGTTATGTGAACAGCTTTAGGCTCAGTGAAACATTGTGGTTGTCTAACAAGAGAGTTCCTTTATTCCTAGGAGCTCAATGTCTGAGATCAAGGTGGAGGCTGATAAGAATCTAGCACAGAGCCTCCTCATGCAGTGCATTACCATAGGAGCTAGGCATTGCACATATATTAGTTATCCTAATAGTTACAGGGAGAAACTGCAGAATATTCCAAGTGTGAAAAACAGGGCACCTGTCCCTCCCTTCTCCCTGGAGTTTGCTTACCAGAGGAACACTGCCTTGTATTTCCATAGCCAGAATCCTTACACCCAAATACCTTTTATGAAGCTAATGTAAACCGGATACCAAAACCAGGCCAAGATCCATCTAGAAAAGAAAACTATACAGACTAATATCCCTGATGAATGTAGACACAAAAAAAAATCCTTAATAAAATAGTAACAAACCACATTCAAAATCTTATTAAGCAGATAATACATAATGATCAAGTGAGCTTCATCCAAGGAATGTAGGGTTGGTTCAACATACAAATCAATAAATGTAATTCAGCACTTAAATAGAATTAAGAAGAAGAAGAATATGATCATTTCAATAGATACAGAAAATGCCTTTGGTAAAACACAGCAACAATTGATGTAAAAAACACTGGAGAAACTAGGGAAAGAAGGAACTTACCTCAACATTACAAAGGCTATATATGAAAAACCCAAAGCTAACATCATATTGAACAGAGGAAAAATCCTCATTTTCCTCTAAAATTAGGGGGGAAAATGAGGATGTCCACTCTCACCACTCCTGTTCAATGTAAGTCTTGAAACTCAAGCCAGAGTAATCAGGCAAGAGAAGGAAATTAAATGGATACAAA